TTTCCCTGGGGATCTTCATGACTCTCTGGACGTTCTTTCCTGAGGAAGTCTGACAATCTGTGTGGATCTCTAGCAATACCATCACTGGTATATGAACATAAATGATCGAACATGATGTAGCAGAAACACTGTATTCCCAGAAACGTGGAAAAAACGGGACCTGACAGCATCCTTTTCTAGATATATATATATGTGTGTGTGTATGTATATAAATACATTTATATTTATGTATGTACAAAAATATATGTATATGTATCTGCATCTGAATCTGTATCTGTATGTATCTATCAATATATATGTATGTGTATAAATATATATATATATGTAAAATACTATATGTATGTATATATGCATGTATATCTGTATGTATGTATGCATGCATGCATGCATGTATGTATGTATTTATGTATGTATATGTAAGTGTATATATATGTATGTATGTATGAATGTATGTATGTATGTGTATGTATGTATGTATATACGTATGTATGTATGTATGTATATGTATATGTATGTATGTATGTATGCATGTATGCATGTATGCATGTATGCATGTATGCATGTATGTATGTGTGTGTTTATATATATATGTATATGTATATATGTATATGTATATGTACATGTATGTGTTTATGTATGTATGTGTATAAGTATATGTATGTATGTATGTATGAATGTATGTATGAATGTGTGTTTGTATGTATGTTTGTTTGTACGTATATATGTGTATGTATGTATATGTATGTATGTATATATAAATCAAGATATATTTATATATTCGTGTATGTATATATATATATATATTAGTTTTTTTTAAAGTCTCGTAAAAGGTAGTGATCTTGGAGAGCGTACGTCTGGTGACGAGTGCAGATGAACGTGGTGACGGACGTGCGTACGACCCAGCGTACGTGTAAGCGTACGAGTGGACGGACGCGTGACGTACGAGTGGACGGACGTGTGCGCAAGAGTGGACGGACGTGTGAGCGTACTTACGTGCGTTGACACGTTCACTCGTCACGTGCGCGCGCACGTACGAAAATAAGGTCGACTCGAGTCGGCCTTATTTCTGTACGTCTCGGTTTTTCCTTACATATATTTAGTATTGGGAAGATTCAGACGTACAGAAATAAGGCCGACTCGAGTCGACCTTATTTTCGTACGTGCGCGCGCACGTGACGAGTGAACGTGTCAACGCACGTACGTACGCTCACACGTCCGTCCACTCGTACGCACACGTCCGTACACTCGTACGTCACGCGTCCGTCCACTCGTACGCTTACACGTACGCTGGGTCGTACGCACGTCCGTCACCACGTTCATTTGCACTCGTACCCCCTACGTTCACCTTTTGCCTAGAGGCTTTAAAAACACCTTTTACGAGACTTTAAAAAAAGCTAATATATATATATATAATATGTGTATATATATAATATGTGTATATATATATATATGTTTTGTTGTATGTATATGTATATATGTATGTGTATGTGTACATGTATATGTATATGTATGTATATGTATATATATTTATATATATATATATTTGTATACAGTGTGTGTTCGCCAGGTGGGTTCGGAAGCGATCAGACGCTGTGACGCTGTGATGCTGCGATACGGTTTTCGCGTCTTCGCGGTGTCTCGGCGCTGCGACGCTGCAACGCCGCTGGCGTCTTCGCGGTGTCGAGACGCTGCGACGCTGCAACGCCTCTGGGGCTCCTCGCGTTTTCGCGTCTTTGCGACTCTGCGATGCTGCGACGCCGCCGGGGGGCTCCTCGCGTCTTCGCATCTCTGCGACGCTGCGACGCGGCTGGGAGGCTCCTCGCGTCTTTGCTGTATCGGGACGCTGCGACGCTGCGACACTGCGACGCCGATGGGGTTCCTCTTCGCGACGCTGCGACGCTACATGCGGTTGTCTCCCCGCGTCTTCGCGTCTTCAGATTGAAGCTGCGGGCTGTTGCTCGCTTCTTCGCAGTGTCGCGACGCTGCGTAGACGCGAGCGACGCTGCGACGCTGCAACCCTGGGGTGGGTGGTGGCTGGGGCTGCATGCGGTCGTTACAAGTATGTATTGGCTTAAACAGTGGCCTTGATCAAATATTTCTTTTTGCTAATAAACACATGCAAACTCAGCAAATCAAATCCACCTCTGTCGCCTCGTTTGAGGTGGAGCTGTGACCAAACGTCCAGGCAAGATGTCCGGGGTTCATCTCAAGATGACCCTTTCAAAAAAAATAGAGAGAGATATATATATATACCCTGTGCGCCTGAGACCTATCCACGGGAGGGTGCTGCAGCAGGGGTTCAAGATGTGCACAGCCCAGAAACATATCATTTTCACAATTTCTTGAAGAGAAACAATCGAAGATAACAGGATATAGAAGCCGAATGCTGGAAGGTACCACCCGGTGCTGAAACTTTGAGTTGAAAGGGTTAAAAGGGCCTGATGTATCATCATAATTCAATGTCTTGAAGTTGTGATTGTCAACACAGCCTGCGCCGCTGAATCAACTTAGAAGAGACTGACAAAATTTACCAAACATAATTATAATGGAAAAAATGGTTCTAGACCTGACCGTGGACAAAGCGTGGACAAACCATGGAAAAACCTATCTAGAGCGTGGAAAGACTCATCTAGAGCGTGGAAAGACTTATATATCTAGAGCGTGGTAAGGGTACCAGGATTTTCGACGTATTTTCAGGTTGTTTCTCTTAGGTCAGATTCCTGGATTTATTTTGCAAACACCCTTCCAATGAACCAACTGTACGGGGACTTGGCCCAGGAACAAGACCTTTTCTAATCAGATTTCCGGTTCGATGTCGCTTGATCCTCAAACGTGGCTGGGCAAAACACGAAAGGTTTCATCTTGCCGTTTCTTAAGACCATTTGGTGAAGGAACGGGCTTTCATCGCAACAGTCTTGAAAGAGGTTTGGGATTGGGTTGTTGCACCTACTTGGCTCCCGACATTTTATTTTATTCAAGGCCACCGTTTATCATGTTTGATTTGTTATCACCTGTTGCCACATACTGGCAGGCCATCGGATCTATATCCTTTCTCGTCTAGTGTGTGTGTGCGCGTGTTATGTGGTACTTGTGCTTCAGCATGGTCCATTCAGACGGTCGAAACGAAATGACTGGATGCGCCGGTTTTTTCTCAAGGAAGAATGTTGGCGATGCGTGTGCAGCCCTGATCTGATCACGAATCACACCCTGACCTTGCAGAACTTGATTAGCTGTTCTCTTGGGCTTGTGGCTGGCATAAAATCTTTTGCACCGCTACCTTGATCACTGCATTCTGTTTCTGCATCAGGGCTGCGGGTCTGATGGTCTTGTCAAATTTTTGACAGCTTACTTGCAGTGGCAACTACATCATGCGGTTCATGCGCAAACTGTGTTCATTGCAGCGCTTTTTAGCTGGCTGGCGCCAGAGGTTTTCAGAGCTCGACCTCTGCTTCATCCACCCCAGTTCTCCCAGGGCCAGGACAACACGATGGACTGAGACCACGTCATCACCAACCTCTTTGAAACGACCCAGCCAACTTCCCATCTCCTCGGAGCTGACAGTTTCCTGGTCTGACGTCCAGCAGTGCGAAATGATTTGACTCAAAAATCTGGTGGTCAGCATCCCTTCGCTGTCCACAATGGACGAAAGGGCTTCACCCTTAGCCGGGACGAAGCCAAGTGCTGGGTGGAACATCACTCGGCCAGGCACCCGCTTCCAAACGACACTGGTGGCACCATGCTTTGTTTTGCCACTCATACTTTTTGGGCACTAAGTTGGCCCAAAAAAGTATAAGTTCCTTTTTTTTTGGAACTCATACTTTTTTTTGGAACCCGTACTTTTTTCGGCGCAATGTTTGGCCCGAAAAAATGTGATTTCCTTTTTGTTGGAACCCATACTTTTTTTGGCAGAATGTTTGGCCTGAACATGTATAAAGTCCTTTTTTTGGAACTCATACTTTTTTGAAACCCATGTTTATTTTGTCACAATGTTCGGCCCGAAAAAAAAAGAATGAGTTCCTTTTTTTTGGAACCCACACTTTTTTTGGCAATGTTGGGCCCGAAAAAATGTGGGTTCCTTTTTGTTGGAACCCATACTTTTTTTGTCAGAATGCGTGGCCTGAACATGTATGAGGTAGCGTTTTTTCCCGGAACCTTTTTTTTTGAACTGCGATGCTTTGATGAAATAAATGTTGGGAATTGTCAGAGATTCCCTTTTTCGAGAACGCTGACTCTAAATAACTTTGCTGTCGAATTGTGCTTTTGTTTTTGCGGATCATTGTTTCATTTCATAGAGATCCTCTTTTTGTGGAACCCATTTGTTTTTTGCCAACGCGTGATGCTTTTTGCTTGCGTACTTTAGGTTGCAATTCCAAGACTACTTTTGCTTCCGAACTCTAGCTTACTTTTTTGGACTGTTTTTTAATATATGATCTTATATTGTTTCTGGAGGTTCCTTTCTTCTGGGACTCTCAATTCTTTGAACCGCAATAGTTGTTTTCGGTATGTTTCCAATTCTTGAAGTTCATTCCCTTCCGAAACAGCACGATTTTTGTGGAATGTGTTTTTCCTTCGGCTTTATGTTTCATTTCCCATGGTTTCAAGTATGAACCGTGACAATTTCGCGGAATAGTTTTGTGCTGTATCTTACATTTTTTTTTCAAGTTCTTCGATCTAGTTATTTAAAGATTCTCAGAAGTTTTAGTGTTATTTTTTTAACCTCGGATCCATGTTTGCATATGGGGAACTCGAAGACTTTCGGTTGAAATCGTATTATATATGTTTTTTCTTGATACCTTCTGCTTTGATTTCTTCGTTTTTGCTGGGGGTCGGAGACTTTTTCGGAACTGCATGTCTGCTTTGCATTGCTTGAACTTCTTCCTTTTTGAGAACCCTTACAGGCCTTTACAGTATTCACTAAGCAGGCCTTTTTCTGAAGATTGGTTTCCTGAAGGTTCCTTGTTTGCGTGAACTCTGAAATATTTCAACTGCAAAGGCATTTTTATTGAATTTCCTTCTTCATTATAGGTTTCAATGGTGTTGTCTGAAAGGTCTTTGTAAATCCATGTTTGTTTCCTTGGGTTTGTCATGCTCGGTTATTTTGTTTTTTTCAAACTCCAAAGTGTTTCTCTGTGATATTCATGTTCAGATTCCTTAGACACATTTGATTTTCCAGCGATGTCCAATTCTTAAAGGTTTGCTTTTTACATCTTTTTACCGCAAGAAAGCTTTGGCTGGCTCTCCTTTTCCGAAAAACATGTCGCCGTCTCTTCTTCGGCTTTTTTGGTGGAACCCTAAGACTATCCCAGCAGTGCCCAGCAGTTATTTTGTTTGTAACTTCTGATTTTTTCCCAAAACCAAACTCATTCCAAATGAACCCCTATTTGTTGGATTTTGATTTCGGAGGAACCCTGAGGTTTGTTGATGGTTCTCGTTCTTTCCTTCTGGAATCCAGCAGAGAAGCGTGACGTTGTACGACCTTGTTCTGGTAGATGCTAAAAAGATGCATTGCCATTGCGTCTACAGTAACATTTACCCATTGTTCCGTCTCAAGTGGCCCTATGCTTTGAACGTTTTTAATTTTTTCTTCGTGGTGCTGAACCACCTAGCAAGTCCAATCTTTAGAAACCACACTACTCCCGTTCCACCTCAAGTTGGAACACTTCTTACATCTGGTTACGCAAGGGCTGCCAGTGCTATCACTTCCTGAAACGCTGTTTGCTCCATTACCTGCAGGCTACGTAGTCAAGAACAAATTGCAATTTTGACAAGCCTGCACGTATTGTACCTCATGGTCAGGGATGCATTTCCCACTATCATTCTTAACTTATCCAACAACATTTATGCTTCAACATGCTGAGTCAAAACGTCACCACCGCAACAAAAACACGCAGCCTCAATCACATTTCATTTCAGGATTTGCCATGTCACTTACAAGATTGACCTTAGCTCGTCTACAAAAAAGAAGGGTTCCGTTTCTGAACTGACCTGGTCTTTTGAAATTTAGCACTGTCAATTGATTCTGAGCCTTTGGAAATACCGATGTCAGAAAACTCCAATGTCTTTCAACTGCTAAAGTTCCAGATTGCATACTCAAGCCAGTCCGTGAAATGCTTGCGGCCACATCAGCCCAGGCTGCTAGCCCTTCAAGCCGTGAAGGACGCAACAGCAGGCGGTAGTGGTTTTTTGATCTTGCTGTTCAAAACGCGGCATTGAAATCGGACATGCTTGGATGCTCGTGGTCCCACGCGCAGCAAACCCTTGCGGGGCCGCACCTGCCTTCGCCGGACGGAATACCATATCAGCATTCGGCGAGCTTCTCGCTGGAACTCAATCATGTCCTTGTAGCGGTGGTACCCGTTGGAGGAATGCAGGGTCGCCTTAGCACAAAGTCGCAACATTTAAAACAATCCAGCCAAAGTTGCACTTTTTCATACTCTGCCTTTTGATGCTCAACCAAACGCCACGCCGGATGCATCGGCCAGACCGACCCAGACAAAACTGGTGAGGTCCCAGGCGCTCCAAATCTACGAGCAAGCCGGGCGAGGACTGGTCGAGGAGGCTTCCGAACAGCAAAGCTTGTTCGCCACACTGCAGAGTCCCGCACTCCCGGGCGGGCAAGGAATGTTCGCACCTGTTGCATTGCCTCGTCTTCAGCAACCATCTTCGCGGTGTCGCGACGCTGCGACGCTGCGACAGGGGGCTGCTCGCGTCTTCGCGTCTTTGGAATGAAATCTTAGAACCCGCCCTGCGCGCTCAATGTATGCATATATATATATGTGTGTGTATGTATGTGTATGTATGTGTATGTATGTGTATGTATATATATATGTGTGTGTATGTATGTGTATATATATATACGTATATAATTATATATAATTATATATATATACATATGTATGTGTATATATATAATATATGAGATGATGAACCATTGAGATTTAGCAGAATAATCATCCCAGAAAGAGACCCCAAACAGTGTTGCAAGGAGCATGACGAAGAGATACCTTCTGCAAGTTCCGTTTGTGCTTCCTACGGACTTAAATTCTGACCCATCACCGGCTGACATCAGCCATCACTATTCTCACTTCTCACCTTTCAACCTTTCAACCAAAAACATGGATAGCCAAATCCACAAACAAGAACGACATTAAATCATCATCTCCCAATAGAAACTGAGCCAGCAAATAGAATCAACATTGATCAAAAAAGTATGAAATTCCAATATGTCTCACCTACACTCTCTAAATTAAACTTGGGATCGAAAAACAAACCACATCCAATAGGAAAATCATCTCCTACCCCCCATGTTGAGGCTTCGATATCACGTTTAAGGAGGTTGGATGACTTTTTCCATTTTGACCCACGATTAGCTTAACGTCAATTTTGGTGAGTTGGAAATCCCAACGCAAAAAAAAAATGTTTAGATTAAGATCAACTTCGTTCCTTCCTGGATGTGTTCGCGTACATTTTTACCAATTCTTGGAAGTGCATTTCCACTTATTTCAGTGAATAGATTTCACCATTTCGAGGCCCCCCATCTTCTCCCTACGAAAGCTGTCTCCCGCCTGCGCTATGAGGTGTGCCCTCACGGCCTACCCGTAGGAAAAATGACATGGGCAGTTCCATAAATTGGGGTACCCCAATAGCTGGATGATTTATAATGGAAAATCCTATTAGAATTGATGATTTTGGGGTAATTGCCCTTATTTTAGGAAACCTACGACTAAATGATGTAAGCAACGAAAAACAGTGATTGAGAAATATGAACTTGTCGTTTTTATCCATAGAGATTAGGCTTTCAGCAACAAACATGCGGGTGTCGCAAACATCGAGATCTGACCAACGCTCATCAGATAGCGAAGAATCAGAAGTTGGTATCCACAGAAAAGGTGGATGGGCTGTAGCGTCCATCCATCCTACCACATCATCATTATACAGTTGATTCATTTCACGCTGCTTGGAAGTGCAGTTCCAGCTATACGTGTATATATATATATATGGGGTGAAGGCGGGGGTTCCCCGGAAGCCAATTGCATTTTATTTGTATGGATATGGAAAATGTTGAATTTACACTGTGTTTTACAGTGTTTTATGCTTTTCTCTGAAAGTGTTCGATCAGCCAAAGTTTCAATGTCGGCGCGGATAAACTTGACGTTTGTCCGCGCAGAAAAATGATAAAATTACATCTTCCATGGATGGCCAAACATGTGTGCAACATTCTAACCATTTGAATTGCGGTTTCATACATTTTTGGTCGTTTTGTTGATAACTAGAAAATGTCATAATTCACTGGAGAACCATGGACGAAATGAACATCACACCTTTTTCATCTTCACGTCCACAAAGGCTTTTTGAAGCAGTTGCTTGGAGCGAGGGCACTGCAGGCAACGTAACAACATCTTCAACGAAGCAACATCCTCAAGGTTTCCACAACTCTCAATCCAACGCACTCCACATGACGTTATTACACCCCTCCCACCCCCCCACCCCCTTCTGTAAACAACAACGATACTTGCAACGTAACAACATCCTCAACGAAGCAACATCCTCAAGGTTTCCACAACTCTCAATCCAACACACTCCACATGACGTTATTACAGCCCCCCACCCCCCCCACCCCCCATCTCTATACCATAACGACGTTTATAGTATAGGCTCAAGACTGAGGGGTTCCTGGAAGCTCCGGGGAAACCCCAGCCTTGAGCCTATATATATATTATGTTTATTGTTATTATTATCATTATTATTATTAATATATTAATTTATTTATTCATTTATTTGTTGGTTTACTTATTTACTTTGTTATTTATTTATTTATATTGACAGTATATATATTTTTTATTATTTATCATTACTATATTGTATGTATGTATGTATGTATGTATGCATGCATGTATGTATGTATGTATGTATTGTGAATCGGAGGTTCTTTCTCCGATATGTGCTTTTGATTGTCCCTGAAAGTGATTGTTTTCACCAGTGATGACACGGGATTCACAGCTTCGGCATGGCTGACTTTTCTCGTAGAGCTTGCAGTGGTCTTGAGCCAAAAGGGGCATTGAATGCGACCCTTTGGCACTGGAAGACTAAGGGGTATTTACATGGGAACACATGTGATACTGTAGCCTAGCTCCCATTCGCACCCCCCACGCATGACCAACTTTGTTGATCACGCGCAAAGGAGTGGCCCTTAAATCATTCCATTACATCTGCAGTTGTTCACTTATTGAATTACGGAGAGATAAAAGTCCGTTCAGAACTTCAAATCTACATGGCGGCTTGCTACGATCTCTACTAAAAAAAATAGTCTGTTCACATGCACGCTGGCTAGACGAAATCTATGTACAGCATTGAGGTTCATCCAATGTGGCGTAGCCAGCATGGAATCCCATTCAAGCATGGAAATAAAATCAAAATACAATGATGACTATGGAGCTAGAAGTTTACCTTCCCGTTCCTTCGTCAGTTGAGATGTAGACCGCTGTAGAAACTCAGCGTTTCGTGCACTGATACTCTATACAAAAAAAATATGGTTCTCAATTAGCCGGCTCAGAGTCCTCTCAGAAATCATTCGAAATGAAGTAGAGGTAAATCTCGAGCAATGATTGCTGTTTCGCTTCGCCAGGTTCAATCAGGACCTATGCAGAGGTCATGTCGACTTATCGTTTGTATCCCCATCCATAGTATCCTTGATGATTCCAGTCGCCACCACGGTGTGAATAAGATCTTTCACCTTTTCCTTGGTCTTTTCCACCCTTCTGTGGCGGAGGTACTGGAGCTTGTTTCGGCGGAGGAGCAGCTTCGACGGTTCTCCATGTTGCCGATGATGATGCTTTCGCTTTCGATACTCTGCCCAGTGCTGGTGCTGCTTTCGGGGCTCCCTTTGATTTACCAGTTGCCGGAGTAGCACGTTCACGATTGGCAGGGACCGGGGTATCAGCGATCGCAACCAGGTGGGCTTCTGACATGTGGATTCCCCATCTTGGTCGTTGATCATCCCGTTGTTTGATGTGGTTGTAGTCGTCAATCGCATCATACAGCTTCTGGAGTAGAGGTCGAGGCATCTGTCGGCCATTTTGAAGGATCAAATGCAAAACTGAGATTCTTCGAAGTGGTGGTCGAAGAGCACACACTATGTCAACTGGATTCAATGTGATCGTGTCCTGAAAGTCGACATTCCTGAAGAAATAAACAGCATTCACTTTGTATGCTCCTGCAATGATTCTTCTGACCATGACATCTTGTCGGTCAAGGGCTTCGCGGGCAGCTGCGGTCTTCCTCATCTCATCCCTCGTTGTGTCACTTTTCGACAACTTCTCAATATCGTCATCGTCAAAGATGTTCTTCAAATCTTCATAAGTGTAACCACATTCAAGGGTGTAGACGAGCAGTCGCTTGAGCACTACTGCCCCATAGTATGCATTGACGAATCCCTCTTCCCCGATGTCGTCTCTGTGTTCTGGTCGGCCGACCTCCTGGTAGAGCTCTTTCATCTGTTGTGCAGTCGGTTCAATGAGTTCACCATTTTCATCCTCACCTAGGTATGGTACTCTTGAATCCAAATCCATCCTGAATTTCTGGTTCTGTTGGAAGTGTTGCCACGCCGTTTCAATTTCTCCACAGAAGTTCCGTTGGAATAGTCTGTAGATTCTGAGGATATGCAACCCAATCTGTAGCAGAAGGATCTTGATGAGCTCGGGCTGAGCATCCCCAATTGTACAAGGCTCGATCGGTAAGACCTTTGATCCAAAATCAATCCTCTTCAACCATTTGGGGTACTCAATCACTGCATCATGAGCTTCTCCGGCCTCGTACTCTTCGATGTTGATTTCACCGTCTGTTCTCTCTTCATCATCATTCTCATCGGTTTGTTCTCGTTCCTCATTGAGAAATTCATCGACTTCATCTTGCTTTCTGAAGTCTCTTCTCTCGTCGTTGATGTCATCCTTCTTCGAAGTTTGATCATCATTTTCTTCTTCTGGTTGAGGTTCTTGTTCTGGACTCTTCATGGTGACATCATCATCGTCATCTTGCATCAGTTCATCGTCGTCTCCTTCACCTGTCAAATCGATTTTGACTTCCTCCCATGCTTTCTTGACATGGTCTTTGACATCTTCTTCTCGAGGACGTGATTCGGTCTTTGGTACAGTAGCCACGGTGATCTTGATTCGTTTTCTCCATCCATGACTGACCAAAAATCCTTTGCAAACCACACAAATCGATAATGATGCAGGAGTCTCTATCAGACATGCGGGGCATAGTCGATGATCCTCCTTGCTTGGGCGATGAGTAACTGCTAGAAGCGATATTGCATCATTCCATTCCGGATGTCCAGGAAATAATCTGTGAGAATGACTGAAGTGACCGGTCTTGATGTCGACAAGCTTTCGGAGTTCGTTCAGATCGGGTGACGATTCATCAGGGACAATGTTCCCAAGGAGTTTGTCAAATCGTTCGATGGTGGCCACCCTCTTTGCTCCTTGCACTGAAAGTACAATCTGGTCTTTTCCCTTTGTGATCATGAGACGGTAATAATCATTTTCCTTCCAATCATAATACCAAGCGGCATCAAATGAGTCGAAAGGGATTGTTTCTTGAACTAAGATGTGTCCGTCTGCTGATACTCGAAGGGAGAACTTGGCGAGGGATTCATACGTGATGTATATGTAGACTAGATCAGTCTGGTCAATCCTTCTGAATCTCAACACCGTCTGACTTCGCGTGTCCCACGGTGCAAATGGCACGAAGAACGTATTGATGCGGTCACCTCCTCCTGCGGGACGTAATCCTTCTCTGAAGATTTGGGCGATGTTGTCAAAAGTAGTGCAGTGAAAACCTCCTCCAAGAGTATAGCCGACTCCTGGGTTCATCTGGTAGGAAGTCTTTCTGTCTTCAATGTGCACACCGCCTTGAACTCTCGAATGTGCCATAGGGGCTCGTATTGCCACAGGCCAAAGCCAAATCTCTCGATCTGCAGTGCCGATCTCCAACCTCAGCGTATGTCGTTCAAGTCTCTTGGTCAATCCATCATTGTAGTTGTCCATGATGTGTTGCAATTCACCTTTTGTGACTTTGAGTCCTAGCACTTGAGCTCGGATTCTTTTCGTCTGCTTGTACTCAGTGAAGATCACTCTCTGGAAATTGTTCCATCTCTCAATAAGCACTGGATAGTCAACGCGGGTCGTTCCAGCCAATGTATGTTTGTCTCTCCAGATGTAGTCATACTTCAAGATCGATTCGACATTGACCCAACCTGCTTCATCGCATGGTAGTCCACGGTGATTTCGATTGTCTTTGACGCAACCCACGGAGTGGCGTAGCGCTGCATTGAATCTCTTTGACAATTCGACTATCCATTGCGGGTTTTCCCATTTGTTGCCCATCCACTCGTTCTCGCCAAATCGCTTCACATTACTCCATCCATATCCAAGATATTCTTCTCCATTGATGCGAGCAAGTTGAAGTTTACCGATGTTGTGGCCATGTGTGAATGGTTGGATGTACTTGACATTCCAGTTGTCTCCATACTGTTTTCTTTCTTCAGTGAGCCATTTTACATATGCATCATGGTCTTTGGGGTTCCAAGCGTTCA